GGCCGATCTTTCTTGCAATTCGGCGTCAGGAACATTCGGTGCAGACTTTCTTAAGCTGACTCTCCAAGTGCATTTGCACCAGTTCGTGGACGTCCGCAATAGTTTTATGAACAACCAAATCCCATCAACTTTTGAGTTGTTTTCGTTAAGTTCATCGACTTTGTGACTGAGCTTCCTTACAGTGCAGCTCTAAGGTCCAGCGACTACAGGCGCACCTTCATTCGCTTTGCTCTTTCAAGGCACCAACAGACTACCGTTGAATTACTTTTAAATATTTAGCGGGCGGACTTTAGTGCAATGCGAGCTAAGGCTTCAGTTCTGAATTGGGAGATCTCGATGGTCGCCTCTGTCCCGTTAGCCTGGGATACATTTAAGGCATGCTTTTAGTTTTCCACTTTTTATGTGCCACTCATGAAGAAAAGCGGCTTACAGACATTTCCTCCATGGATAGATACCATTGGCAAGTACCTACTCAAGAAACAGGCTAGATGCTGTCGAACCTACCAAGCAACCAGTACCTATGATAGTTATCGAGAGAGTAGAAATAAATGTAATCGACATCTCAGGACTGTTTGTCTCCAGTACGAGTTTAGCAGACTCGGCCACAGTTGATTCCAAGAAGATTTGCTGACGTTAACAGACGCAGCGGGGCAACACTTGCTATATTGCGTTATTGCGAGTGGGCTGGACCCGTACGAAAACTGACTATGACAAGGCTTGGATACTTAGTGCTCAGTATAGTGTGGTCTTTGCTCGGGAGATCTCGTTACCACAGGTTGAACTGGTTTCAAGATTCCCAGAGGCTTCTTGCTTAGCTGAGTTCAACATACCCCAGGCTCAAGTCTCCGAGTTAACGCAAGGCATCACCACTCTAAAGCTTCCGGTCCTGATTCAATTCCTCCGAAGCTGCTGTATGCATTGGCCGCTGAGCGGATTGGTCCTATCACATACGTATTTTCAATACCGCGTGACAGCTGCGTCCTACCTTCGAAATGGAAGGAGGCACTTACCTGTCCGACATATAAGGGCGGTGACAGCGCTTTGCCTGCGAAATACCGACTAGTCTGTTTGACAGGGTAAGTAGTCGTTATTTGCAGAGCTTAGTAAGGGGACAATGGAGCACCACCTAAATAGATGTAACCTGCTCACTGCTGCGCAACATGGATTCCGCACGGGATTTTCGTGTCAGATTAATCTACTTGTAGTTCCTAGAAGCTTGGCCGAAGCGGTAGATAGTGGCCACGCTGTAGATGCGCTAATCGTGGACTTTTCGAAAGCCTTTGACATTGTTCCTCTTCTTGGCCTATCACTAAACCTGAGCTCTTACGGTATATCTGGTCACGTCCTTCAATGGGTGTCTACTTTCCTTGTGGGGCGGGAACAATGCGTACGGGTGGGTGTAGCCCTTCGCTCAGGTAAGCTGTCTTTAGTGGCGTCCCGCAGGGCTCGGTAGTTGGGATATTGTTGTTCGCGATCTACGTAAATTACTTGCCGGGAAGCTAGGAATGGCTTCACTAATCTTTGCTGACAACCCCAAGCTCTGGAATCTTGTAGATATCCCGGGAAGTTCTGAAGCATCTCAGGGTACATTGGATAGGCTCTGGAAATGGTCGAACTTATGGATGATGCCCATAAATTAGACCACGTGCCCTGTTCTTCGAACAATTGCTGCCAATCTACCCACTCGATAGGTTTTCGGCGGTGGTTAAACCATGCTGTCACCCAGCAGGTTGATTTAGCGGCCGTACGCTCATTAGCACTTCATTCTGGTTACCAGTAGAAGAAGGCTGCTTGTCGGGGGTTTCGTATGACTTGCTTTATCCGCTGCTCTTTTAGAATCCTAACAGACAATTTGTTTGTAGAGCTATTATTGGTATTCGTCCGACTCCATCTGAAATATTTTAGCCAGGCTAGTCCACCATGTCTTATCCGAGACAAAACGGACTTGGTGTGGGTGTTAAGGTTGGGCATTCGGTTAGTGCCGGGTCTACCGGAGCAGACGTTTGCCGAACGCTTGCTTAGATTGGGGGTGTATTCCATGCACTACCGAAGGATGAGAGGGTACCTGATTCTCACGTAGCGTATCTTGACGGGAAGATAGGCCGGGACTTGTTAGGGCGATTTAAGTAAATGGGTAAACATTTCATTCTCGACAAACCGAGGCACGCCTTTTTGGCATGATCAGCATATTGCATGCTTAGAAGGAACAAAAACGGGAGTAGTAAAGATGTAGTCAGTAGTGTGTGCCCACATGGCCCAAAGATTGTAGGAAGCCTATCTTCACAGAATGCGAGATGTAGAGATAAGGATTAGATCATTAATGCTGAGTATGTTAATGTGGAATTAGTTTGCTGAGCTTGTGTACATGGTGCGGGTCAGGTAAGTGAAGCTTGAGGAAAAACTACAAAAATATTTTAAGAATAGTGACGTGTCACCGATCAAAGCTGTAGGCGTAGTCGTACGAGAGCCGATGTACGCACAGAATTTGTGAAATGTAGTGTCGTTCCACTCGCAAATGCGTGGTTGGGGATGTGACTTTATTGAGTGGCGAGTCACATCCGCCCCTTGGCAGTGTTTTTAAACAGACATTTATGGCTTTCGTAGGGAAAACGCTTGCCATGTTACACAATATCCGCGGTCCCCAATTGAAACTGCATAAGCCACGGGTTGATAGGATTAGGACGGAAACTCGTCTGTCGCGCCGAGTTATAGAGCGTTCGAGTTCAGTTAACGAGCACGTGGCTAGGGAACATACGGTTAAGGGCCTTGCATGCCAGCTCAATGCTCTTGGGTGGCAACATCAAACCTTTCCTTTTTCCCAACTGACGTACCTTCAATTTTCCGTTCTTTTTTAATATGTAACTATCTTGGTATACCACTTGCTTAGCATGTTCCACTTTCTCTTCTTGCCTACTGAATTTACTTTTTTCTCTTCCTTAATTCACTTAACCTGTAATCGGTTGGACAGGGTGCAGAGCGCTCCTTGTTTTAGGTTCATCAATATTGCAAACTCTGCTTACTCATGGTTCAGCGACCCGCGGAAGAAGTAACGCACGGGATAAGCCTATCATTCCAGCCCCGCTTGAACTTGAACTCGACTCGACGGATGGCTTTGGATAGCAAACGAATTTTTCTTGTGATTGGTTCACAACGCCACAAATTGAAGGTCCGTTACATAACTTGCAGACACTGGCTGCGTATGCATTCGCTGGGGAAGCATGGTATCACACCCATAACGAGGGCTTCGAAAGGTAAACCCCCGCTATGATACTCACATTGGCGCTGGAACGAAACTTTTTATTTGTCCTCAGGATCCCCTCCGAATGCACCAGGTTAGTCATCCATCGATCTTGTTATAGTCCTACAACATAGGAATTCGAGACGAAGTGTCAACTTACTGGCGGCCATCCACCTTTCGCCTGAATATTATCCTGAAGATTGTGTAAGCAACATTGGATAAGCTGTTGCTAGCGCATAAGCGACGGCGCAGCTAAGGTCCCCTTGGACTTGTGGGCCGCCAGCATGAATGAACACCCCGTTCATAAAACACTGTATTGTCAGCTGCAGAAACTCATGCACGTCTACTCGTTTACTGTGGTCATTGTAAATGCCGATGACAAAGATGTCCGATAGCGGTTGTAGTACGGTACAAAGTATAGGCCATAAATGCTGTCCGGAACTGCGGAGAACAGACCTCAAATCGACATGCAGGTGCCGCCGTAGCTTTTGTGGTGGTAAAACGGTAGTTCGCAGGGAGCTGCGTCACAATCCTGCTTCAAGCCCAAGGTGCACGCAGCGTCCACCAAGGATGCAGTGTTCGTTGTAGTGACGAGGTGTGTGTATCAGTGTGCGGGAAGATGCAGGTAACTCGGAATGTAAATGCCAAAAATGGTGATGAAATAAGTTAAGCTGCGCAACTGAGAGGTTCCTATCCATGCATCCATCGCGGAGTCCTTTGAAAAGTACATCCTCCGATGGCCGTAAAAGGATGCCTACAAAAGTATAGGGTGACTTTGAGACGACAAGTATATTGGGTCCTCCTTAATTCACGGACCTCCATTCGGTACTCTGTGCTTACGGCAGAAGCAGTTGCGGTACGGCCGCAACAGGCAGTTCCGGCAAACCTTCCATTCAGGTTAACATCAACAGGTTTCTCACCACGTAATTGATCCTGCATGCGCATGCTGGACGGTAAAGCTTAAAGGCATCGCATATGACATAATCTATTGTAGGTAACCGGTGTTACCCGCAAGGACGAAAGTATGCTGAAAATCTGTCCACCACTATTGCGTACCTTGCGCTGGACATTGGATCTACTGCTACCGACAGGGCTTGAGCCGCTTGTCATCCATGGAAACGCTGTGGTAACACAGGGTGATCCATTGGCGAATCTACGGACTAAGGTCAGAACAGATAATGACGCATTCAAACAAAATCATGTGGCGTATAGTTGACAAATCAGGAAACATGACGCGTTAGGATCACAAATATATTTATATATATTACATAAGGTGTAAATGTATATTTCTCGAGCGTCCGAATTTAGTCCCAACTGGGGCGCAAGGGCCCCGGAAGATGTCGTCAGAGGAATGCAGACCATCCTTGCTCTACCAACTCGTGGCGTGAAGAACTGGAAGCGCTTGCCTTATCTCGTCGTTGATGCACAAATGGGCAACTGTTGTAAAACAATGTTGGATTCTTACGGAATATGTCAGGAACTTGCGGCTTCCATCGGGAATTTGACGCTTTATGCGGACCTCGGTCTCGTGATGACCAACTCAGCCCTGCTAGGAAGGGTAAGTGATGTAGCTGGCTAGGCATCTATTTTCTGTTCTCTGCCACCCAATGCTCCAATGATTCGATAATGATACGAAATATCATGACGCGGGGCTGAGTAAACAATCATTTTGTGCACAGTTATAGTGTAAATATATAGTAGGTTTTTTATTACCTTAGTTATATGTTGCATACAATGGTGCGCTTTTCTTTGCTTAGTATTTGTTTGAATCGACACGGTCCGTTCTCGCGCCAGGCCCTTGGATTTCACGATCGCGCTCTTGTCGTCATGTCTGGTCGAGGCAAAGCGCGCAAGCCTGCGGGGGGAAAGAAACATACGAAGTCTACTCGAGCGGGATTGGTTATGCCCGTTAGTCGTGTTCACAGGTACCTAAAGAAGGGAAGATATGCCAGACGCACTTCCATTGCTGCATCTGTGTACATGTCAGCGGTTATCGAGTACTTGGTTGCTGAAGTAAACGAGCTCTCCGGAAATGCGGCGAAGGCTAATAAAAGGTTAGTTGTCTACCATCTACAGCTAGGTGTAGGGTAATCGCAAGCCGTTTTATACTAATCCGTGCCCATTTTTAACTGCACTCGTTCTGCCTTAGGATATTGATTCAGCAGTGCGCAACTGTCCGTTATTCTACGTATTCTTCACAATGTCGCGTTACGCATAAAAAATCACAACCGAAGCCATTCAGCAGCCTGCTATTTTGTTGCATACCTGACGTCACGAGTTAAGAGGCGCGCGCGATGTCACCGAGCAACTAAGCAATATGACATGTCCGGTCCGCCTTGTTGATTCGTAGCTTTTAACAACCATCGTTCTTGAGCGATCACACTGCGTTACTTTCTCACTCGCTGCTCATCATTTTTTCAAGAGCCCATCGATAACCTTTTCAGCCGTCATCAGTATACTTGCCTCTAGTTTGCTTTGTTGCCTCGCACCTACGCAATCAGGACTGAAATGTGCTACGTCGGGTGCTTGAAGTAAGATAAACTGGGACCTAATGTAAGTTGCTTCAGCTGAAAAGTACCGTACTGTCACGAGGGTGTCGCTAACGTGAAAGCCAGAAGTTTTGATTATCTGGTATCAGCAGCTGGTGTTGCATCGCTGCTTTTTGCTAATTTTCGTTGCCGTGCTGATCCATTGATGGACACGCGTTGTTCGCACGTTTCAGTCTCACTGCTCGGTTAAGGGACAGCGATACACGCCGCGAAGCGTCTTGTCTTGAGCCAAACGCGGAGCGGATCCCGCGGGTTTCCGTCTGAACAATATGAATTAACATAACTCCGTCCAAAATCCCACCATGTTACCTCTATGCCCCCCTGACCCTAGCCCATTCAGCATTCGGTTAGCTTGCACTCGCGCCATCTTAACCAACTTGTTATCGAAACCTTGCAGGTTTTTCTTCTACCCAAACACTAGGCCGCATCCAAATCTGGTAGATTCTCAAATATCTTGACCGATTGGCGTTTTGCAAGTGTCGTCCTGTTAACGCATCCTTAATTTTGATCTATATCTCAACGTCCTCGTAATGCTAATATTTCCGTTTGCCGGTTTCACAAGCAATTTCGACTGATTCGCTTTAGCTCGTTCACGTATCACAGCTCTCTGCCCATTGCTAGCTGTGTTGAGAGGCAATCATCGAAATTGCCGATTGCTAGCTTAAGCACTTTGGGAGGGATTCGATATGAGCTCAAGTGTTGTAAAGAAACCAAGATCCTGAACGCGATGACTTTCCTTCATTTTCGCTGAAAGGTGACTTAACTGGATTTGCTGCACTATTTAACATGATTTGGGTGACTGATAGGTGACTTCAGACTAATGATTTTCAACTGTCGTATTCATCGAAATTCAGTGTACCTTGTGCCAAAACCACTGAAACATTAGCCTTTTTCCCATAACCAAGCTTCTCACAGATATCATTCTTCTACTTGTCCTTGGAGTTGTATCGACCACAGCTTTACTCTTCGTCAAATATTAGAGCGGAGGTAGCCTTACGGACGAACAACTGGCGTTTTTTTTCCTTAACTTGAAAGCCGCCTTCGACTAGGTTGTTCGCGCCATCCTATGGTACTGCCTATGCGTGAAGGGCGTGCCTGGAAAACTCCATCATGTAGCCTATCGCGGATCCCGAAGCCTAGTAAAGGTTTGTGTGAATCTGTCTACTGAGTTCACACCAAATAGGTTTCTCAAGACTCGTATGATCATGAGTAACTGCGTTCTTTCAGACTTCCGAAATGAAATTTCTGCCAAGTGACCCAATGGCGAACCTTGAGTATGCGAACGGCATTGCTCACCTTGAGTCAAACAACTTGGCTATGCAAGCACTACTGAACAAACTGACTCGTAGCGCTGAACACTTCGGTGTGCTTTGCACCTTCAAAGTTCCGGGTACTGTTGCATGACTGGGCTGATACACCACCGCTTTTATCTATCCCCGGACAATCACTGGAACTGGTGGATCAGTTCATTTGCTTTGGTAATGTAGTAATAATAATGTCAGCTGTACACCGTAACGGCGCTTCGCTGCCGCGTGACCACCACCAGTCGCACGTGGGCTGAGTATACCGCGAGGACGCCCACCCCTAAGCGGATTCGAACTGACGACCTTATGGTTGCCAACCAAACGCACAGATCACTCGGCCACCGGCCTTGGTAACTGTCACCTCTGGCAGTCAGATCACTGAAGAGACTACTTTGCGTGTCAGTGACGCCCGTGTTGCTTTCTAGGAGCTCAACCATCTGTGGAGACGGCGAGTTATCAGCCTGTCAATAAAAGTCAGAGTGTATAGCGCTGCATTAAGGCCATTGTTACTGTATGTATCAGAGACCTAACCAGGTCGCATTGAATAGATTAGACGACTGATCGTGTTTGATCTCCGGTGCTTGTGGATTATTGTTCATATTTGTTGGGAACACCGGGTGAACAATTCTGAGATCAGCTAGTTAGGTTTTTCGCCCGTGGCCTTCCGGTGCCTCGAGTGTTTGCCTATGCCTAATGCCCATCATCATCAACGACAGCAGTACAACAGCCATTTGGACTGGTGCTTTGCTGCCATACACTCAGAATGACCTACGGAACGAAGAATGATGGGAGTGAAGGGAGACTTACCGGAAAACCTTGTTGACCGAAGCAAACATTCAGGATAAAGTCGCTTACCCTTCGTTTTAACAGCATACCGTCAGACAGCTGACTATCGTGCAGAGAATAAGCTGAATCGGCGAGACAACTTCCTTGCGGCTTTCACTGTCACGCGTCATAATTAGCCATTACTCCGCAGATAACTGCACCAAATACGCGTTAGACAGTCCGAGTAGGACGGCAGCAGACGCGCCACTGGTGTCGATTTCGAGCCAAGCACAAGGCGAGTCATGTAAACACCGGCCCGGAAGACGAGATGGCACCAAGTTTGGTTGTCAGTGACTTCATTTTCCGCTGCCAAGTCAAACTTTGTCCAACTCGAGCCTTGCATCACTCTGCATCTGGCAGATAAAACAAGGCCTTTCTCAGTAAGCGGTGGCCGCGCATACGTAGTATGTATCCAAGCCAACACAACTTATTTAGTGCTATCTGTTGTTCTAAGGAACTACCTTGACTAGCACTCGCTTACGCACATCATCGTTGCTGACGCGTTGGTCCCCCTCGATATCAGCAGTGCTCCAGAGACAGCGATGATCTAAAACTTGAAGGCGCATCAAATCTTCAGACCGAAGGTGCCAAGTCTCACTCCTATAGAGCAGGAAAGCCCTCACTCTGGCCTTGTAAACGCAGCTTTTTAGACAGAGGAAAACTTGTTGTCGGCCAATATGTCGCAGATGCAAAAAGACAGTTCTTACTTTTGCAATGCGTGAACTGATTTCAGTTTCTATGCGCCCATCGTTGCTGATACGGCTGCTAAGATAAATGAATTGATCAACTACCTCGATTTCTTGGCTATCTAGGGTCAAAGGAACATCAGTTGGCTGGTAGTCCTGCAGCAACTCTGCATTTTAAAGATGCGAAGCGCATATCAAATAATAGAATCACGGTTGGTTGCGCCGCCCCAGCATCGTTAAAAAGCAAGACAGTCTCGTCCGCATAATCAAGATCAACTAGCCTATCACCAGACAACACCTCAATGTCCGCATCGTGGGAATCCACAGGGGAGCACTCCATGATGCAATCCACGACGAAACTCAACAAAATGGGGAAATTGGACAACCCTGACGAACGTCACTTGTTTTTGGAAAGCTATCCGACGTCATAGTAGACTGACGCGGCTTATGGTGCTCAACTACAGAGCAAGTAATATGTTCACATATTTCATGGGAACACTTCCCAACAAGTATTCCGAACAGAATGCATCGATGGACTGAAACGAACGCACTCTTGAAATCGAGAAACGCAGCTATTGTCGACCTGCAGTAGACGTGGCGCTGCTCTAGCATCATCATCAACAGCAGTACATCAGCCATTTGAACTGATGCTTCGCTGCCATACAACCATGAGGGCCTATGAAATAAAGAATAAGAAGAGGGAGAGAAGGGGGACTTAGCTGAAAACCTTAATGCCCTAAGCAAACATTCAGGGTCAAGCCACCTACACCTTGTGTAGACAACATACCGTCACAAACAACTGGCCATCGTGGAAAGATAAGGCGGCATCGGCGAGACAGCTTCCTTGCGACTTTCACTACCACGCGTCATAATCAACCATTACCCCGCAGATAACTCAGCACTAAACACACTTTACACAGGCAATCCGATTAGGAGACGGCTACAGATGTGCCACTGGTGTCCGTTCCGAGCCATGTCCTTTAAAGTCTCGAGCGACGCACAAGGCGAGTCACTTGGACTCCAGCCCGGAAGACGAGATGGACGAACGGCACCCAGTTTGGTCGTCAGTAATTTCATTTCCCGCTGTCAAGCCAACTTCTGTCCACCTCGAGCTTTGCGCTACCCTGCACCTGGCAGACTAAACAAGGCCATCCTAGGTAAGCGGTGACCAGATATACGTAGCACGTGCCCGAGCCAACGCAACTTATTCAGTGCTATCTGTTGTTCTAGGGAGCTAGCATGTTTATCACTACCTAGTACTCGCCTACGCACATCATCGTTGCGGACACGCTGGTGCTATCCGACTCCAGCAATGCTTCGCAGACAACGATGATCAAAAACTTGAAGGCTCTTCAGACCGAAGTGGCCAAGTCTCACTACCATACAGCAGAACGGCCCTCACTGTGTCCTTGTATACACAGCCTTTCAGACAGAGCGAAACTCCCTTCTCTCGGAAAAGATGCCGCAAGTTCAAGAAGGTAGCTCTGGTTTTTACAATGCGTGAACTGACATCGGTTTCTATGCGCCCATCATTGCTGATGCAGCTGCCAAGATAAGTGAACTGATCAACCCCCTCGAGTTTCTCGTTAGCAAGCGTCAAGGGGTTATCAAGTGGCTGGTGGTCCTGCTGCAATACTTTGAAGGTGCGAAGTACGTACCAAAAAATGGGATCACTCTGGATAGGCTATCC